TCCACCAGAAAAGTTACACAATACACCTTTAATTAAGAGGTTAGGGTCAGAGTATTAAGAGCCTCAATGATTCTTAATAAACTACTTGTTAAAAATGAATGAAGTCTTTCTTCATGCTTTATAAAAAGGCTAATTAAGTTATTATAATGTGTTGACCTAAAATCTACTATTTATACAAGTCTAAATAATACACAAACTGCTCCTGGAGACCAAGGCACAGGCCCTCTCTCGCAATTAAACCATACAGATGCCTGGTGGTGATTAATGTACATACTGCACATTCAGTCTACGTAAACATAAATAAACATGTTGGTGGCAATTATTTTCTTCATGGATATTTTACAGAGAAACTCCAGAAGCAACTCTCAAGTGAAGCAGATTTCTCAACAGACATTCACATGAGAGCTGTTAGAACAAGATTTACCATAGAGAAATATACCGCAAAATAGAAGTCAAATTCCCTTCTTAAAATTAGGGATCAGGAGAGGTTGGGGAGCAACCGTGAGGGATTTGGTCGGTATTTCCAATTCACACAGAAAAAACGGTTTTGACAAAAGAGGAGGAAGTGCGAGGATGAGCTTGAGAACACAAAGCAGTGAGCTGGTAAACACGCCAGCCAATTGGTGCGTCGAGGGAGAGGGGGAGCACCCGTCACCCCCCTCCTCCCCGCCTGCCTTTTCCTCTGCTCGAGAATTCACTTATCCCCAAATCCCTTCCCCTACTTTCCTGATAACAACAAGGAGCGGGCCTGGGGAGCTTAACATAGTGGCAAATCCGGACCAAGGAGCGCACTTGCCAATACACTCCAGTTATACGTCTGCGGGGATTAGCGTGCTTTCCGGGTCTCCTCACCGGGGCGCGTCGTCTCGAAATGACTTTAATTTGTTTCATTTGAAATAAACTGCCCCGACACTCAAGAGTTCAATTTTATGGATGACCTATCAACAGTGTTATCCAATCGCGGCGTGGAGATGTTGTGTGGGAGTGGAAGGGCTGTGTTGTGTTTTGGTTGCGTGTGTGTTGTGCGTTATACTATGGGAGTCTGCGTGTGCGTGTCCTAATAGAAAGAGACACTATGCAGAGGCCGGGCTCCCGTGCGGGTCGGACTGGCTGCTCATTATGCGTGTGTGTGCTATTAGTCATGCTTTGGGTTTAAGTGACAAGTGGAGAGGCGTGCGCACAGGGACACAACGGAACACAGAGCAAGTCAGATACATACTTAGCAAAAGGAATTGACACTAAGTTTTATGGATATTTTTAAAACAAACATTAAAGGCCCCATATTTCTATTTTCTATGTATATCTATGCTACAATGTTTTCTCAACACAAACATACCCGGAGTTGTGTTTTGTTTCATTCGCACATATTTAACACACAAATCCTGCACATTTAGGTTGAATTCTTTGCTCAAACTGAAAACAAATTTTGTGATGTCATGTGGTAATATGCGGTAATAGTGCTCCACTGTGTTTGTGAACTCCATTGTAGGAATAGACATTCAATTAAATTTCTTAATTGATCATCAAGAGAATTAATCATTACAATTTTTATCATTATTATTATTATTATTATTATTATTATTACTATTGCTAATCTGCATAAATAAACTCAACTTTACAACATGTAAACCATAACCACTACAGAACCCCATCAGCCTGTTTCAGAGATATATATATATATATAGTACATATATATATATATAATATGTTTAATGCAGCTTTGCCACATTTGTTTGTTTTACAGAAACAAAACTTAAAACCACATGGCTCATTTGCATAAACTATAAGTACTGATAAAAACAGCTCTGTCCTTGTGTCCTGATGTGGTTCAGATTCTGTTGGACTAAAGGACATGACTCAGTGGAATATGAGTGTTCTCTCTGTGACAGAGGGATGATGATGAGCATATATCAGCTCTTTATTTAACATTTCACTCACTTTATTTATGTTGGTCACTTTATTTATTTTGGCTACTGTTGTGATGAAAAGACTGAAAAGTGTTTGTCATTTGGATGTGCATGTGCACTCAACTTTATGTTAGGACACTGTGTATGCATGTACCATGACGAAACTGGGATACTCCAAAAAACCCGATCATAACCGGGACACTGATGTGCATGTAAACACACTCACTGAGTGGTACAGTGATCTCCAAGGATGTGCCAGAGCCGAAACATGGGACTGTGAGGCCCCAACTCCAGTGTTAGCGCTGTCAGACACAGCCTCGTCTCCTTACGCTACTACGCACAGCAACCTACATTCGGTTTGTCCATTAAAAATGAATGTGATCGATAAAATTCTTAATAATCAATTATCGATTAGTTGACCAATCATGTCCATCCCTACTCCATACACCCTCCCTAGAGTCATTTGGATAATTTCATCCCTAGAATTAACAATCTCTAGTGAACTAAAGGCAAATGGTTCCTGTTAACTTGAACACTACAGGTTCATGACATCACAAGGTGAAACAGAACATTCTGAGTTTTGGAGATGTAGACAGATTAATAATAAATTATTATTCCAACATGTGTGAATGAAAAAAAACCCACAACTCCAGGCATGTTTTGATGAGGTAACAACATTGTAACATGGTTTAAAACTCAGAAGAGAGAATCTGCATATGCATAATACAGGACCTTTAAGTACATATTCTGAGCAGTCTACCTCTTCAATCAGTTGAGCATATCCGTGACATCCGGATTCAACACTGAAAACGTGTATCACTGTATAAGCGTGAGAAGCAGATATCTTGAGCAGAACGAGGGCCACTCAGGGCTCATGTCTATAAACCTCATACGGTGTGTTAGTGCGTGCAGAGGAAGGGTGTGTGAATTACGTCTGTGTGTGAATAGCAGCACAGATCACTGGGGTGTGCACTTAGCATGATGTGTGATATCTTTATCCTTCCCCTACAGACCAACCACATTGAACAGAACTTTTCTATATGTGTGTGGCTTGATCTCAAAAGCATGCAAAGTGTCTATGAGGAGAAAACAAGCAATGTCAATTTAGTGTGTGACAAGCTTTGATGTGAAGAGTGTACTACAAGAAACTACATGAAAGAAACACTTGATGGTTAGCATGTTGGCTGGAGATTGCAGATTCCACTTCTATGTTTTTACTAATTTACTGCGATCATCTTGTCATGTCACTCCTATCTATCTTATATGAGATCCTTTAACACACTATGACAACGAAGCACGCAATAACTTCAAACTGTTCCCATGAGGAGCTGCCCACAAGGAGATGTTGCCAGGAGAAGTAACAGAAAAGCGGAGTGGTGTGAAGAAGACACTTGTGTTTGTCTGAAGCTCAGATGGCCCTGCGCACTGACGCCACAGGGGGTGCCGTGGGTGTTTACATAGATCGAAAGCAGAAATGATTCTCACACCGGGACCCCCATGGACTCCTGAACTGTCCCCCAAAAACACAGTCTTGTTGTTTAACAGTGGCGCATGGGAGTTTGAGTCTGGAAAAGTTTTCAAAGTAAATTGGCTTCTCTCTGTAGAACATTTATTTAACACATCTATTTATGTAAATTATCATAAGGCAATTAAAGCTGAGCGCACTGTAGTTTACTTCTGCAGACATGTAGTTATTACACAGTTCAGTTGGGTGAAGAGTCTGCTCAATATGAACCTTGAATGTAAATGGGCACAGTGAATACGGACTAGTGTAAAAACAGGTGTGCTCTTGGTAGGTTGTTTTCAACAAAGGTACATGTTGTTGAAAACAAATTTGATTTAATTCCAGATAACATTTAAGCACTGAAGGCTGAAGAGAATAATAGTTTTCAGAAAAAAAACAAAAATAAAAATTTCTGAAAAGTCTTTGTTTAATTATGAATGTTAATTGCCATGTTAAATTAAACAGCTAAATACACCGGCTAATGTTTTCTAACAAGGCATTCACAATTGGTTGCCCAAAATATCTTGTTCATAATTTGTCAAATTTGTGAGGAAATGCTATAATTCAAAATGTACTGAGATGAGTCTGTACAAGAACCTCTAGAATGAGTATATGGTGTTCTTGTTAAAGACAACAGTCTGCATTTCTTTTGAGAGACAGGTCTTAAATGCCTTTTTGCCTTTTCCACTTTGATCAAAAAGTACCAAATGGACTGCACACATAGAGAAAAATTCCCCAGTATTCGATCATTCCTTTGTTATTCCCAGATGAGTGCTAGAATGTGCCCCAGCCAGTTCTACTGGAGCTCCGTGCCACAAGGAGAGGCAAGGGGCCAAATCACAACTGCTGCCATGCACAATCCATTCACTACGCACACACGGCGAGAGGCGGCTGCAGCTGGAGGCGAGTGCGCTCTGATACCCTGCTAATGTTCTTTAAGCCTGGGCCCAAGTGAAAACCATGGCAATAAGAGCCCAGACGCCCCGGTGATCACAGCACAGTCTTGGCACCAAACAAGAATGCATTTGTTATTTGTGTCTGCCATCTAACGAGGATTGGGTAATTACTTCTTTGTTTGTGATTGAGATTTTACACCTGCCATCCCAGAGTGGGGTTTAGTTTGAAATAATGCCACTTGTAAGGGTGCTACGAATGGACTTTCATGCTACGCAAGTGGAACTGGAGGATGAATGGAGGCGTCACTGAACAGTGGGGGGTTAAACAGTGCATTATCACTGCAGTTTGTTTTATTGGCTCCTGCCCCCTAAGTCACAGTCCTACAACCACACAGAACATGATTTAATGTTTATTTATGTCAGCTGCTCAGTTCAGACTGTTGGTTTTTGTAAACACGCATGGAGAGATTTCCAGGACTCATTAAATCATAGAATTCACTGAAATTGATTACACTTTTTAAATTAAATAATTAAGTCTGAAGCTCTGTTCTAAGAGACTGGCCTCAGTTGCTGCTTTTTCCTATTGAACTGCACTATAACTGTTTCTTCTTTTCATATTATCTTTTGTGCTCACAGGTTTTGTTTTCTTTCATTCAAGATGGTGCAGCCGGTGGGAGGGAGGACTGTACTCACCCTTGCACTCTGTCCGGCAATAAGCTGGTCATCTTCAGTCTGGATGCTGGTCCTGCTGCGAGTATCGTAGTCCTCCTGCTCAAAGTCCGAGTCGTCTTCCAGCTCCTCTGGTGTCTAGAACAGCACAAGGACAGCCTCCGTAAACAATCAGACAGTGACAAAGAAGCAGCGCTCACAGGCAGCGTGTGGCCTAGCTCCCATTGCCACCGTTCTCATGCCAACGGCTCCAGTTCTACTTTGGATCCAACTAAAGAGGTCACATTGAAACAAGCACAATACGAAGATGAAGAGAATGTATTCAATTAAAACAAGTTTGAATATTCACTACTGTGATGACAACAGACAAGACAGTGTAGGCACGGGTATTGTAGTGGTATAGGATTCATATAGGAGCAAGTGCATAAATGTAAAATGGAAATTTAGCATCTAGTGATCCAGATTTATATTGACCAACAATGGACCAATTATCTAATATAGTATGTTGTAGAAACTGCTTTGTCAGTCTAGCTCATATTAAATTCACCACATTCATATTAAGTTGAATGTTATTGATCTGTTTTATCAAGTAAAAGCTTTCCTGCTTTTAAAGTTAATAACCAAAATATGTAGAAGCTTTATAAGGAGCGATACTTTCAGCTGCTCACATGAGAGAATCTAATTATTCCAGCTGGTGAGTTAGCATTTTTGAGATGTAGTTTGTCTAGAGTCTCTGGACCTGTGATGTGGTTGCTATGGCAACAGATGCTGGACATGTGATGTGACCTGTAGTGAGCAGGGGCGGTCCAGTGAATCACATCAAAACATGAACATGTGTAAAGTCATCAGTGGAACATGGGGCTGACATTTACAGGCCTGCTGCATTCAAAGCCCTGACACCAGCTCAGCACAAGAGAACATGCTTATTCACTGACACATACACACTGTGACAACATACTATTATTCTGCACTCATGTACTCTGCATGGGTCATGTTTCACATATGTCTCAAACTCTGTGGTTTAGACTGCATGTCACTACAACTAACCCATTAAAGTTATGTCATGTTAGTAGCATTCATCGTAACATAATAGTCTTTTCACAATGATAGTAAAATAATCAGGATACCAATATATCTTTAGCAACACAATGCTGTTTTACAGAGGAAAATAATACTATTCAATATCTTATAGAAATAAAAATACAAACAATTAAATATCTACAAGGGAATGTGTTATAACGTGAGAGTCAAGAGTTTTGAGTGCTCAAAACTGTTGACTGTATCTTGATGTTATTGGGAAAATCCAGATTTTGATAAAAATAATAATCACTCTCAGATGCATTTGGTCAGCTATTGTTGTTGGCCTTATTTACTCTACTTTACTTCTGTGCCCACTAACGGAAAAGAGAACTAAAGACACATTGTTTTTCATTAGGCTTTTTGTCCTGTTTGGTGTGAGTTATATATTCAGAGCTGCATCACCAAATACTAGCTTGTACCATATATTTAATCTATGACCCTGTCACAGTGTGATGTTGGTAAGACTACTTTTTATACAAAAGGCCATCTTTTAACAATGGCTTATTGCCTTTTCACAACAATAATTAGGGCATATAACATGCCAGGCTGTTATATGGACCCATATATTAAAGGTACTTTATCTGAGATCTGTTTTAAAACAGTTTTATAAGTCGACCTACAGCCAGCTCCACTGAGGGCGCACTGTGGTGAATTGGCTTGCTTAATCCTCTGACTGCTCTGATCTGCGCTGTGCTGTTATTCGGCTTAAGTAGAAACTAAATTACAGCAAAGCAATGTTGCATCCACATTTTCTGTCTCAATATGATGAGGTTAGACAACAGACAAGGCAAAGATCTCCAAGTAGTTTCCTCAGAAAGTAATAGAAGTTGGATGGGATTATGAAGCCAGCTGGTCGCAGGCAGTTCAAAGCTGCCTGTTTTACATTATTTACCAACATCAAATTATTTTCCATAATTAGATTTTTTTTTACAGAGCTGTGCTGGGAAAGCTTCCAGCGTGAATAAAGTTGAATAAATGAATTACATGGTGAAGAAAGAAGGGGCAGTTAGGAGAAAAAATGCAGAAAGAAGAACACTGGTGTGAGACTTGCATCAAACACTTGTGCATAGTTCTGGCAGCTTCATTACACAGTTCATGTGATGGCTGTGACATCTCAAATGGGAATTCAAATGAATTTTAATCATGCATTCTGTTTTCGTCCTCCTTTAGGCAAATATATTTTTATCAGACTTCTACGCTCTATCATATATCGGCGTAACAAGAAACACAGCTGGCACGTTGATAATATCCCTCATGTATAGTTAACATGAAGTAAAAATGCCCCTAGTACTGCGGTGTCATAAGTCAATGTACTGCTGTGATTACATAGTTTTTATTATGAAACATCAACATTCACAAGCAGAATAATACACAGTAAACATCACAGAGGCTGTGTTTATTCATCCATTCAAACACAATGTGCTTAGTCACAATCTCCATTTCTGTTTGTTTCTGTGTTAAGAGGAAAACTGCATATAAAAAAGCTAAACTTTATCTAATGCATAGAAAGAAAGGTGTCTGTCATCTCACATAAAGCTTAGTGGTCTATATCATTGGAAAAAGTGAAAGTATTTAGAATCTCACCTTAAGAAAATATAACAAATATAACACTGCATCAAGTAATGATTTCCTTATGTGAAATCTGTCACTTGTAACCCATAAGAATAGTACAAGTTGGTGATATGAGTCTTGTGTTGATATGCAAATTATTTTCTGCTGTCATATATGGCTTAAACAAATCTGTTGTACTTGCCTATATGCTTCTTAATGCCTGCATAAGGGATAAAGGATCATTTTAAATCTGTTTCTACTAAGTCCCTTCTCAACTTTTCACTTGGGTGCACCATATACATTGTAAATTTCCACTTAAGTGCAGATTCCACTTTATATATGCTCAAGTGCTTTTGTGCTAAAGTGCAAGGGCATAAAATACAGCAATTTGTCATCATTTTTCTACGTGAAAAGGAACATGGACCTTTTGAATCTAACTTTTACAAACATTTCAACCAAGTATTACCTTTACTGTAAGGACTTCGGGCACTTACAAGTTGTCAATCCATAAGTCTGAAAAGATTGACAAATTATAATGATATTTGGCAGCTCATTACGAGCTTTCCATTGATACATTATTCTTGCTTTCACCCAAAATGTCACCACTAAACTTTGAATCTCCAGTCCAATACTGTAGAAGCTTTTAAAAGGGAATATAAAGCATTATTTTTTGAAAGCTATGGACCTCTGGAATGATCTATGCATTCAATTTTGTTTGTTTTATTTAATTTTTTCTCTTATATACACAGTAAGTCCTAAGTGAAACTTTAAACGCAAGCTGGCAGTTCATACTCTACTTTTCTTTCTTGAAATTCTGTCATTGTTTCACAGGGTTAGGCATTGTAAGTCATTTTTACTTCAGCCTAAACCCTTTCAATCAAGATCCAAATGGTCAATGTTTTTGTAATGCCACAAATGACAGGATAATCTGCTACCACAGTTGCAGAAAAAAAAAAATAAAAACAACAAAAAAAAAGTTGCAGACATTTTGGCTGGACATACCCTGATCATGAGCACAGCTTTCCGGATGTCACGGACGCCGTCGTAGACCAATCGCGAGGCATCAATGAACTCATTTTCCTCAAAGGCCTGCGGAGGGTTCGTACTCAGGGCCTCTATCGCCACCTCCACCTGCTCAGCGAAACGAGGCATGACTGCAGAGACAAGCAAAACAAACGAAGAAGACAGTTACACAAGTACGAGTTTTGACAGTGAAGAAGTTATTTGTGTTGCAACATAAGAAAAAGCATCCGACTGTACTCTGAATATCTCTGTAATAATTTGGCATTTTGTTTTTGCAAGAACAAGAGATGTCAAACTCAAAAACTCAAAAAGTACAAATGCTAATGTACCATTCATTCATCAATTAGCCTGTCTTACCTCGGCGAACCTTGTGTTCAGTTCAATAGGCAAGTACAGGGCGGAAATGAATCAAATGATCTAAACAAAACACAACTCCATGTATGTTTTTGATGAGGAAACATTCTAACAGAGAAACATAAGGAAAAACATGTCTGAATATTTCTGTATCAATTTCACGTTCTGTTTTGTGTAAGTCTAGAACAAGACACGTCAACCTCAAAACACAATACGAGTGATAATGTACCACCCATTTACCAGTTAGCCTGTGTTACCTCGGCTAAAAAACACAGTGGAGCACTTCCTGTATACGAGTGTTTTTTGTTTGAGAGAAGAGCTCAGTCTAAATATTATGCAACGTTTGTGCTAAAACCTGCGTAAATTAAACAAAACACAACTCCATGTACAGTATGTTGACTAAGAGTGCCTTATGTCTTGCACTGTATGCCTTTTGCACTATTTATTATGCACTAGTTTTTGCACTATTGTTGTGTCTGTGCACGTAAATGTTGTCCTGTCTTGACCACGCCTGGAATTAAGAGAAAAGTCATTTTGATTCCTTTGTTTATGTGAAGAAATTGACAATAAAGCCAACTTTGAACTTTGTATTATTACTTGTACTTTGAGTTTAATGTCTCTTGCTCTAGTCTTGCCCAAAACAGAAGTATTCAGAGTACAGTTGAATGCTTTATCTTAAGTTGCTCTGTTATAATCATCAAAAACATACATGGAGTTGTATTCTTCTGTCAAATGTTACCTCGGCTAACATTGCGCTCAGTTCAACAGGCAATTCCAGGACTGAAATTATAGACATTATTCTAGTGAAGGTGTATGGAGTTTAAAAACACACTGGAGCACTTCTTGTATTACCACATGACATCACAAAGTGGAACAGTGTTTTCAGTTTGAGAGAAGAACTCAGCCTAAATATGCAGAGTTTGTGTTAAACCTGTGAGAATGACACAAAACACAACTCCATGTATGTTTGTGATGAAGAAACGTTACAACAGAACAACCTTACGTGAAGGATCCAACTGAATATTTCTTTAACAATTTCTTAAGACTAGAACAAGAAATGTCAAACTCAAAGTACAAGTAATAATACACCACTCACTCACCAATTAGCCTACGTTACCTTGACTAACACTGCACTCAGTTCGATAGGCAATTCCAAGTTTTTTGTTTGAGAGAAGAACTCAACTCCATGTATGTTTTTGACAATAATAACAGAGCAACTTAAGATAAAGAATTCGACTGTACTCTGAATACTTCTGTAACAATTTTGTTTGGGGCAAGACTAGAACAAGAGATGTTAAACTCAAAGTAATAATACACCACTCACTCACCAATTAGCCTATGTTACCTCAGCTAACACTGCGCTCAGTTCAACAGGCAATTCCAGGACTGAAATGATAGACATTATTCTAGTGAAGGTGTACGGAGTTTAAAAACACACTGGAGCACTTCCTGTATTACCACATGACATCACAAGGTGGAACAATGATTTCAGTTTGAGAGAAGAACTAAGCCTAAATATTCAGAGTTTATGTTAAACTTGTTTGAATGACACAAAATACAACTCCAGGTAAGTTTTTGATGATTATAATAGAGCAACTTAAGATAAAGCATTCAAGTGTACTCTGCATACTTCTGTACAAAAATTGTTTTGGGCAAGACTAGAACAAGAGATATCAAACTCAAAGTACAAGTAATAATATACCACACACTCACCAATTAGCCTACGCTACCTCAGCTAACACTGCGCTCAGTTCAACAGGCAATTTCAGGACTGAATTTATAGATATTATTCTAGTGAAGGTGTAGGGAGTAAAAAAAACAAAACAAAAACTAAACAATCACAAGGTGGAACAGTGTTTTCAGTTTGAGAGAAGAACTGAGCCTAAATATGTAGAGTTTGTGTTAAACCTGTGTGAATGAAACAAAACACAACTCCAGGTAAGTTTTTGACTATTATAACAGAGCAACCTTACGTAAAGGATCCAACTGAATATTTTTTTTAACAATTTCTTAAGACTAGAACAAGAAATGTCAAACTCAAAGTACAAGTAATAATACACCACTCACCAATTAGTCTATGTTACCTTGACTAACACTGCATGCAGCTCAAAAGGTCATTCCACATTTTTTGTTTGACAGAAGAACACAACTCCATGTATGTTTTTTGACGATTATAACAGAGCAACTTAAGATAAAGCATTCAACTGTACTCTGAATACTTCTGTAACAATTTTGTTTGGGGAAAGACTAGAACAAGAGACGTCAAACTCAAAGTAATAATACACCACTCACTCACCAATTAGCCTACGTTACCTCAGCTAACACTGCGCTCAGTTCGATAGGCAATTCCAGGACTGAAATGATAGACATTATTCTAGTGAAGGTGTTTAAAAACCCAGTGGAGCATTTCCTGTATTATCACATGACATCACAGGGTGCTGAACAACTTGGCGAAGATCACAGAGCAACATAAGAAAAAACTGTACTTTGTGCTTTCTGTAACAATTTCTCGCTCTGTTTTGCATAAGACTAGAACAAGAGACGTCATTCTCAAAGCACAACTAATAATAAACCACTCAATGACCAATTAGCCTGCGTTACCTTGACTAACCCAGCACTCCCACTAGCTTGTCTGCCTGATCTGTTGCTATGTGCGTTGCTAGTGGCAGACATGTTGGAGATGAGAGGTGCTTGAACAGTGGGGAGTACAGGGGCGCTAAGTCGAGCCTGGGCGGTGAAGTGACAATGCCGGTGGATGGAAACAAATTCATCAAACTCTTTTCAGACAGACAAAGACACAGGTAACAAAAGAAAGTCCCCATTGACCGCAAAAACGGTGGGGGTTTTTGTTGTTGGTGTCCACTAGGCCGGACCCGGAATAGCCCCGCGCTCTTTGTATGACTTGTGAATTGTGTTTAAAAGAAATTAATCAATATTCAAGAAGACAGAGCTGAATGTGCGAATATGTAGCAGGCCCAACCTTGCCACGTAATCTCTTGTTGAGTCACGGTAATTGAATGCAGTGTCCAATAATGTGATTCTATTAATATATACTGGTGTGGCTGGGAATTAGCATAACAAAAGGAAAGGTTTACTTGGACTGGCAGCCGCGAGAAAGTCAAGTCTACACACATTCTTGAATCAATATGTTTTCAGTCAAATGCAGCAAACAGTACAAGGCGAATGGGGAAAGCGGTTTTAGAATACGCCACACAGAGGAGCAAATCGCTTTATTGAGAGGGCGCTTTAATGAATTCAGAATTTTATGTTTTAGAATGACTATTTCAGCAAAGGTCACAAAGGTACCAAGGAGAAAAGTATTGATTTCAGCTTGGATCCAGTTTTAAATTGTTTTACGAGACTCTGGACTGCACAGAGAATTGAAGATGTTTTTCACTCGCTAAAACAATTATAATTTTGAATGGATTGTCATTTGTTTATTTAAAGGTGCACTATGTAACTTTTTGGTTGGGGGTCTGTCGCCTGCATGTTTCTATAGATCTGTCAAGTTTTGAATGTTCCACATCTATACCTTACATTTACTTAATTACGGGTGGTTTTATAGCTCAAAAACACCTAGAAAAACAGACTTCATACTGCAGGGCTTAATGCTCAATTCAGATTTTTTTGTGAAATCAGATTTTTTTGTGAAGTCATTCACATTTCCAATAAAATGTGACTTGTAGGTGATCTTCAGTGTGAACTTTAAATGCCCCAAAAGTGTCCTGCATGTGCATCGGAAGACACAACAACATCACAGGCAGCGAGTGTGCTCAGTGTTTATGGAAGTTGCCTAAATGCTGAGATTGCCTCTCAAAATACAGTTCACTTCTTCATAAAATGGGCAGGTTACACGTCCACGGCCGCTTCGTTTGTTTGAGTCTTTACCCTCCTTGTATTTGACTTGCAGGCTCTTAATTTTTCATGGACATTGGAGCTAGGGCCACCTGTAGCCGCGCTTGGCCATTTCTTTGGCAATCCTTTCAAAAACCGCCCGGTTCTGAAAAGATCCCTCCATTTTGACCTGAATACAGCGATCCCCCCAAATCTTAATGAACTCGCAAACCTCGCTTTCCCTCCATTGACGAGACTCCGAGCCTGACGTGTAGGACGACTGAATGTGGCCTGGCCGTTCAGACTGAAGTCGTATGTCAAAAAATTGGATATGTATTGGTTTTAGGAGCGCATATCCAAGTGGCCTGGGTCGTATTTGAAAAAAAAAGTTGTATCTGTGACGTTCAGACTGTCATTAAAAGATCGAATACAGGTCGCATAGGGGTAAAAAAAAAATCAGATTTGGGTGACTTCAGGCTGCAGTCTGAACATAGCCTCTGACTGTGAGCGGGGTTGTCTCTCCACAGATCTGACCTGTAACTCAGTTTGGTTTGATCTCCATGAAGATAGAAAGGTTTAATGCCATACTATGAGACATTCCAGACAGCGCAATAACATCTCCATGGAGAAAAGCATTTGATGGAGCCTCTACCAGTTACACAATGTACCTTTTAAGGATCTCCATTAGTCTCTGCAAATGCACAGACTTCTCTTCCTGGGCTCCACTCTTGAAAATAAAAGTATAACATGTTGACAGTGCATTGTGTAATTTTTCTGGTGGAGGGTCCATCAAATGCTTTTAGTCTGTCTAAAGCTGAAAAAAATTCCACCTTGTGATGTATTTTTTGTGAGGTCACTTTTACCTTTTGTCCAGAAGAAAGAAGCAATTACATGGCTAAAATTATCCAAATTATTCAAGGTGTAATAGGGTGTTTTCAGTTTG